TCCATGGAAGTCGTGAGACCAAGTGGGATTGAGAAGTTCTGAAAAATATTCCTTCCACCTCCAGATGACATCACTGATTGAAGTCAACAGCACCCCACCTTCACTGAACACAGTGTTAGTAAAGCACTGCTTTCCCATCCTCAACCACCTGATTGTTTTCCAGAATCTTCTTGGAGCTGACCCAGAGTTGTTATCCAGGGCCTCACCAAACTCCTTCCACATCCTAACTTTTGCCTCAGCAACAGCCAAGGCTGCAGACCACTTAGCCCTCTGGTGCTCCTCAGTTGCTTCAGGAGCCCCACTGGCCAACAAGGCTTAATAGGACTTCTTCTTCAGCTTGACAGCCTCCCTAACTTGGGGTGTCGTCTACCACAGAGATTGTGGATCGCCACTGTGAAAAGCACCAACAACCTTGTGGTCACAGTTCAAGGCAGCCACCTCAACAATTGAGTCGTGGAACAAGGCCCACTCTGACTTAATGTCCCCCGCTTCCGCTGGGATGCGGATAAAGCTTTCCTGGAGGTGTGAGTTAAAGATCTCGCTGATGGGTTCTTTTGCCAGGAGTTCCCAACAAACCCTCACTACATGTATGGGTCTACCAGGTCTGCCTGGCATCTTCCCCTGCCATCTGACCAACTCACTACCAGGTGGTGATCAGTTGACAGTTCAGCTCCTCTCTTCAACTAAGGGTCCAAAACAAATGGCCACAAATCAGATGACACAACTAGAAAAGTTAGTCATTGATCTACGACCTAGGGCATCCTGGTGTCAAGTGCACTTATGAACAGCCTTATGTTCGAACATGGTGTTTGTGATGGACAAACTATGACTAGCAAAAAAAATCCAACAATAGAACACCACTCTGGTTCAGATCAAAGAGGCCATTCCTCCCAATCAAGCCCCTCCAGGTTACACTGCCATTCCCCACATGGGCATTGACGTCCCCCAGCAGAATAAAGCAGTCCCCAGCTGGCACACCTTCCAGCACCGCCGCCAAAGAATCCAAGAAGGCCAGATACTCTGAACTGTCATTCGGCACATAGACACAAACAACAGTCAGAGCCCGTCTCCCCACCTGAAGGCACAGGGAGCTACCCTCTCATTTACCAGGGAAAACTCCATCACACAGGCACCAAATCAGGAGGCTATAATTAGACCCACACCAGCCCAGCACCTTTCACCATGGGTGACTCCAGAGTGGAATAAGGTCCAGCCCCTCTCAAAGAGATCGGTTCCAGAGCCCATGCTGTGCGTCGAGGTGAGCCCAACTATGTCTAGTCAGTACCTCTCAACCTTGCGCACAAGCTCAGGATCTTTCCCCACCAGCTTACGTTCCATGTCCCAAGAGCCAGCTTTGGTAAGCCACAGACAGAGCACCTTTGGCCACTGCCCATGGTGTCATGCACCCAAATTTTATGGCCCTTCCTGCAAGTGGTGAGTCCATAGGAAGGCATACCCATGTTGCTCCTTCGGGCTGTGCCAGACCGGACCCCATGGGTAGAGACCCAGTCACCAGGTGCTTGCTGACAAGCACCTCCCCCAGGCCTGGCTCCAGGGTGGGGCCTCGGTAACCCAAGTCTGGGCAAGGGACACTAAGTTTCTTGATTTATGTTGTCCATCCAAAGTCTTCTGAAATGCTCTTTGTCTGGCCTGTCACCTAGAACCAATCTGTTTGGGAGACCCTACCAGGGCCCTTACAGCATAGCTCCTAGGATCATTCAGGCACACAAACGCCACCATGATAAGGTGGCAATTCAAGGAGGAGTACTTTTGTAAAGTTGTGCATAATATTTTTGAAGGAACGTTTATAAAAGCTCCATCTACAGTGATATTAGTTTTAAATTCTGGGTGGGTGATATGCATTCCTTTAAGCTTCAACTCAAGCCGGTGTTTTTCAGGCTATCAGACCAGCCTGCCATGTCTGGTGATCTTCAAGAGGAAACTTTGGTTCAACGTGATCCCGGGGAAAGATCTGGTTGCTGACCTCACCTTCCATTTCCCACAGGTAAATACTGAGTTCATTTGGATTCATCTGTCATTTGAGGTGCAGAACGATCATGACCCATCTGGTTCTGTGCAGGAGATGCCCCGGTACCTGCGGGGTTACCACGACTGCAGCAAGGAGGACATGGCGGAGCTGGGCGGGCTGCTGTTCAGAGTGGCCGTGGACTCGGACCGTTCGCAGTTTGTCATGATCCCCAGAATGCTGAACATTCTGGTTCCTGCTGACCAGATCAAACTGATGTCTGCTGAAGAGTGGAAGAAGGTCAAATAAAAGTTTAGCAGAAGAGGGATTTATTTAAAATTTAATACACAAACCAAAGATAAAGTGGCTCCAGTGTGAGCATTCTTTTGATTCGTCTCGCTCTATTTGCAGAACATCATCTCCTCGTACAACAGGCAGAGCGGCATAACGGTGCAGGAGGCCAAAACCGCCTTCCTGAGGAAAATTTCAATCTGGCCGACCTTCGGCTGCGCTTTCTTTGAAGTAAAAGTAAGTTACCGAGCTGCAGCGACAGCCACAGAAATACTCGTTTACCGTTTTTATTTTAAATCTGCAGCAAACGTGTGAACCCGATTACCCAAATCCACTTTGGATTGTCATCAGCAAAAAAGGTGTGAGCTTCATAAACCCGAAAACAAAGGTATGCTCAATGCTGACATAGATTTATCCACAATATTCACTTGTGTATGTGTCATCATACTATACTGTGCTGAAACCTGGTTAGGGGCTGGAGGTGATGCGCCAATTCACTGACATCCTGGAGTACAGCAGTAAAGGCAACATTTTCCAGATGACCACCCGAACCCTGGTGGGGGGCATCAGCTTCATCTGTGAAACCCCTCAGGTGAACGTTTGCTCGAATGATCCTCAATCCATGATTCTGTTCTTCGCTGTTGTCCATAACATTTAAATGAACCCTTGAGTGCACGGATTCAGTTCACCTGTTTCTGCTCCTCCTCAGGCATACACCATGGAGGACCTTGTTAGATCATATGTCAGGATGTACGAGGAGGAGAAGCAAGTCACTCGACCAAGGAACATGTTTTCCTGAGACTTCAGAGGAGAAACACTCACTGAGCCGCTGAGATTCATGTCCAACCTACCTTTACTCATGCTTTGCTTTTCTTTTTGTAAAAATGACAAAACTGTATCTTAAGCAGATTACTTTATTAAAAGAACAGTGATATCCAGATTTTGATGTGCAGCATTTTCATTTATTAATCAAATTCAAATTCATTATGCCATTTATCTTATTCTTTTGGCTGCTCCCTTCTTCAGGAGTCACCACAGCGACATAACTCGTACAAAGACTTGGCGATTGTTTTTACACCAGATACCCTTCATGAAGTAACCACAGACCACTGAGCTACCACAGCACTCTGTGTGGAACAGAGAGTTGCTATTTAGGGTGCCTGGAGGAGCAGAAGGTGGTGGTGGGGTGGTGTTACTGTAAATGTGTTCCTGACTGTTGTTCTCATGAAACATTAAATGTCAATCTCTGCTTTTGTTTATAATTAAATTCAAGTCAGTTTATTTATATAGCACCAAATCAAAACAAAGTTGTCTCAGGGCACTTTACAAAAACATTCACATACATAGAAAAGCAAATTGTTAAGGTTGCGCGGGGAACCCAGATGTTATGAGACCCAGAACGAGGCAGACACAGGGGAAGTACAAAAGAACAGTGTTTATTATGTACAGTGATATTATTAAAGTCCACACGCTGCTTCTCAGCAGCTCCTGGAAAGAGGGACGACAGGTTATTGTTTGTCCAACGAGAAGACCAGAGTGGTTAGATTAAAGAGCGTCTTGTCCTTACAGTCCAAACCCGAAGTAGGTGAGCTGGTTCTTCAGTCCAAGGAGTGAGCAGCAGAGGGAAATCCAACAAGGGTCCAAAAGGAAACGAGGAAGGCTGGCAACTGGAAGCAAAGAGACACGAGGGATACCTGACAGGCCAAGGGATCCAGGTCAGGCCACGAGGAGAATCCAAAAACACGAAGGAACCAGGAAACTGGAAAAAAGAGCAAAAGGTGAACAAATTCTTTTCACCTAGACATTTCTAGCTCAACAGTACTATACCACGAGAGGTGATATGCTCCAGCGTTGAATCACACCGGACTGCAGCCTTAAGTAGATGGAGAGGCTCATCAGGCTGATTGCCGTCAGGTGTTGGTAATCAGCGGCCATCAGCAAGGCAGGCTGCAGGCAGTGGGACCCTTATACAAATTAGTAAAGTTATCTATCTAAGGAAGCCAGCAGACACGTTGAATCTTCACTTTGTCGCAGTCTCCCATCTTGAGCAAGCACAAAGTCAACAGTGGAAATGAAAAACTCCTTTTTAACAGGAAGAAACCTCAAGCAGAACCAGGCTCAGGACAAGTGGCCATCTGCTTTGACCAGCTGGTTTGAGAGGACAAGAAGCAGAGACCAACAAACACAGAATGGCAGGTCCAGATGTAGGTGCAGGTGTATCTGAAAGACAAAAACACATGTCAAGGGTAGAAAAAATGATTCCAAATACAAAACAGGTTGAGCAGAATAAGTAAAGACAGTAGCATAGTGAAGAAATGCGGTCAGTTTGTCCTCCAGCAGTCTACGCCTTTAGCAGCATAACCAGTGCTTAATTTGAGCCGAATCCTGCCAGAACAAGATCCGGGAACACTTACTTTGACAAGGTGCGTTCCGGTAACTGTTTGCTTGGATCTGTTAACTCTCAGGCTTAATAATAATAAAGTTATGAACAAATATGACTGCCTTGAATGAATAAAACCTACATTGGATATGTAATCTAAAAATAATTACATAAACACTAATTTTAAACATAACGAGCTTCCTAATATCGCATCAGCTGTCGCTTCGCATTTCCGCTTCTGTTCTTAAAAAAATCTCTGGCTATAAAAGTTCAAAGTCATGGGCAGTTTGATTAAAAAACACAAAAATATAATTACTATGCATAAGTTCCTGTGCTTTTGTGAACAATCTGATGTGTGAATCACTGCAGGAGTTATCTGAACTGTGTAGTGAACCAGATGACCTCAAATCTACCAGATGGACAGAGACTGTTATTTTCATTGATCTGAATGTGTCTGTGCCATCTGATGACTTTCTTTCTTGAATTAATCAAGCAGAAAAGACAATCCTCTATAATCATTACTGTTTTACAAATGTTTTGATAATCAATTGTGTTAGTTTCACTCAATTCTTACAGGTTGAAAAGAACTACTCATTTTTATTTTACATAAACAGTAAGTAATGATTTTTATTCCTCATTCAGAGAAGAAATCACCTGAATAAGCATTCCTTGATTTTCTGTCTGAAATGAGTCAAGTCGTAAGTATGTGAAAGGTTGGTTTTCGGTCAACTAAAATGTTTACCGAGAAAAATGTCATGTTTAAACTTTTTCAGAAGATTACCAAGAGTTGACTCCACGAAGTCTGCTGTTGCTGCAATAATCTTTTCTGTATGTGAAAACAAATTTCATTCTCTGACCTCGACTGTTGATAAACACCTTACGTCAAAACCACTCCTCTTTCTGGTCCTTCCACGAATCAGAAAGCTCTAAATTGAACAGGAAGTCGACCCAAATAAAATGTGGCAACTTCCCAGTTCATGTTAGATTGAGATTGAGAGTGCAGCCGGTTCTGAAAGTTTCAGAGCAATGAAGAGTCCAAGAGAGCAATGAAGAATCCAGAGGTTTTTGGGATTATAATTCTGTTTTGAGCTAACTACGCACGACTCTCTGAAGGTTTGGTAGTTCTCGACGGAGACGCTGAAACGAGTCAGAAAGGAACTACTCTGACGCTGATTCATCATCAACAGGTAGATGGTTCTATTTTGACCAAGTGTACCGTGAGAAGCTGAGATCGGACGGAGCGTGCAATTTCTGGTTAAACAGATTAAACTTCCCTCACATATTTCCTCTGTAAGATAAATCTCAATTTACTCTTAAACTCACCTCTCTCTCATAAATCAGTGCAGATATTTTTAGAAATATCTGAAGCAAAGTCCTCAAATCACCGCCGAGTGATTTGAAGTTCATTATTTGTGAAACTGTCTGTTATTATTTTCATATTTTGCCAAATTAATGTAAATGTTTGATGTTAAACTTTGATTCTGAAAATAAATGATTCCATTCATTTGATGGGTCAAAGGTAATAACGTCTCTTGTTCGCATTCCTTTAAATTCAATGCACGGCATTACACAGTCAGAAAGATGAAGAACTCGTGAAAAGTATGCATAAATATATATCCATATATTTGTCATACAACAAGTGACACGTACCTCACGTGACTCACTACAAACTGGTGGCTCGTACGTCTCATGAATGACTGTTAATACGTGTAAGATTGATGATTTAAATGTTGGCATGTTGAAATAGTAACGGTATATCAGCTGTGCTGAAACCGTGCGTCTTTACGCAGCGCAATTGGAGCTGCGCGCTTGGAGCTCGGCTCTACAACTTTACGCTGTGTTACGCTGGCAATGTTTTAAGAGCTGAATTGTGTCATTAAGTCTTTATAAAGCTGAAATTGTACGTCTGTATGGGTAACATAAGCTGGCTTTGAGCTGTGGAAACGCTTTATTCTGTTTAAACTGTGTTGAATTCGCTGTTCTGGTCCGCCTCGGTTCTTTGGACCGGCTCGGTTCTGAAACGGGTTCGAACGAGTTGTTAAATAGCTAGAAAGACGTTTTGTCACGGAGCGCCGTTCTCTGTGCAGCTCAGGGGGTTTATTCGTTACAAATCTTAACAGAAAAAGCGCATTTTGATGGTTTAAAAGACGAAAAAGTGACGAACTATTTTACGCTAATCTAACTTGCTAGCTGGAGAATACGCTTCCTGATTGGTTGAATTCGCTGTTGTGGAGCGCTTTGATTGGTTGAGAAAGCTGACTGGCGTGGCTACGTCACTCCCTCTCACCCTGCGCTGCTTTGCCATTGGTGATTTCAGTCACGTGACCCGGATATGAAATTCGTTTTCATAGGGAAATAAAATCTGCTTTTTAAAGCTAAAAAGCGCCTTTTAAAGTGATTCTGAAACGCTGTTAAGTGCTTCGAAGCCTGCTCGCTGAAATTCTGCCACGTTACAGTTTAAAATTCGTCAAAAAATGATGTTTTTAAACAACGCTAGCGATGCTAATTTTAAGCTAAACAGCTAACGACCGGAGCTTAAACTACGCTTAAAATCACTAAATGAAGCTACCAACAGACCCAAAAACTCATGTTTGAAGCTATAAAGTCTGATTGCAAAAACTTTTGCCACGTTTGTGTAAAAAATCCGTTCAGAAATGTTGATTTTAACCGAGTTTAGCCGAAGCTAACTTCAAGCTAAGCGGCTAACAACAGGATGTCAACCGAACGCCACAGGAAGTTATAGCTCCCCTAGTGGATAACACAAACATTGTCGGAGTTAAAATTGTGGAGGTAATACTGACATCTTCTGGCGAACCTTGAGAAGACAGGTTTCACTCGCTTATTAGGTCTAAATAGTGAAATTAAACGTTTTAATCTTTCTAAAAGCATTTTCGAGTCAATAAACGTTCCTTAAAGCTGAAAATTACTGTTATCTTGCATTTTAAAAGTTATAAGGTATTTATGCAAACGAGCATTCACCAAAAAAAATTTTATTCACTGATAAATCCTTATAAAACAGGTTCATAATAAAATTAGAAACTTTTAAAAAATAGAAACAGTTACAGATTTTCACAAAGTTGGAAAAAGTTTACTCATTTGCTAAAAGGATAGTGCACGTTTAATTAATAAATCACTAAATAAAAGTAAATATATCAGACGAAGAGACTTTGCTGATTTTATTTATTTTGAAAAACCTAAAACATTAAAATTCTCCTGTTTAAACTTTAAATAGAAGAAAAATGGCAAGCGACGAAGAAGAAGACACCTCTTCAAAACCAACAAATGATGACATCATTTGGGGGCCTTACATATTTTAACAACTCCACTTATTGGCAGGAGAAAGGAGTACAGTTTTTCTGAAGAAAGACTGATTATTCCTCATCATCAATTTCTTTTCTCTTTTCACCCACCTGGGTTGA